AATGGCAATTATGGTTCAATGAGAACCAAGGGTTCAATTTACACCAATTAATTTGATGAGACACTTGGAGGACTTGGCGGCTATTATCTAAGGCTGCCTGTCTCCCCCCCCCCCCCCCCCCCCCACCTCCGGGGCCTGGGAACCCTTGGGGGATGGGCGCCTAAGCAAGGATGAGCGGATGCTGAGGCTGGAAATGCTGCAGTCCCGGGTGTGACCACCAGGTGGCGTAGCGGCTGTAGGAAGCCCTGCCCCCAGCGGCTCCAGAAAAAAACAGAAAATACAAATGAAAAATTCCTTGGCCTGGACACAGAGAGTCGGTTGGAAATTCCTGGAGCCTTCTGTCAAACCCGGGAGGTTTGACCTTCTGCAGGAAGCAACGCCTAGGGCGTCCACGACAGGCAAAGGGCAGGAGGAAGAACCTGTTTAAGCACGTGGGAGGAGAAGGACAGAAGAATTCTCCGGACACCTTGGACTCAGCGGCCTCCTCTAGCCGAGCAGTTCTGCGAGGGAGGCCGGGTCCCAGGGCAGCAGGACCGCCTGGGGCTTGTGGTCGATGCATATTCCTGGGCCCCGGGAAACTCCTGTGGTTGCTGGTCCGGGCGCAGGTGGCGTGTCCTTCCCTAGGCCAGAGACCGGGCCAGCGAGGGGAGTCCGCTCCCGGGATGGCCCGCCGCCGCCTGGGAGGGGTGTGGGCACAGTTCTGTCCCGTGAAGCGCAGCCGCCAGCTGCTCCAGGTTGAGGCTACACCCCATGGCCTCCGGTGCTTTAGTGTGAGTGGCTTCTCGCTATTTGCTATTTTAAAATGTACAATGAATTCCTGCCCAGAGAGCAGAGTGAGGCAGCAGCCCCGGCTGCGACATCCGGGCCTGGCACCCCGACTCCTCGGCTTCCTGGCTGATGCCATTTGGCCGAGTTCCCCGCGTCCCCCGGGAGGTTCTGGGAAGCTCAGGGTCACCGCCCAGCACTCGGCCGCTCTCGGGACTGACCGCCAATTCCTCTCACATCCGGGGCTCCTGGTTGGCCCTCGTCTGACCCGGACCCCGAATTCCAGCCTTGCGCCGAGGTCTGGCCCATGACAGGCACGAGGCCACGCAGCAGCTGGCCCGGGGCATCGGCGAGAGCGGGCTTTATTTCACTTGTCTATTGTGTTAGTCCTCACCCGAGGATATTTGTTTCCATTGATTTTTGGAGAGAGTGGAAGGGAGAGGGAGAGACAGACACATCGGCGTGAGAGACACACCGACTGGTTGCCTCCGCACTCACTCCCTCACCAGGGCCGAGAATCGAGCCTGCCACGGAGGTGCATGCCCTTGACCAGAATCGAACCTGGGACCCTTCTGTCCGTGGATCGACGCTGTGTCCACGGAGCCAAACTGGCTGGGGCGGCTCAGGTTTCAGAGTCTGGTTTGAACCTGACTCTGCTGTGTGACCGTGGGCGAGCTGCCTGCCCTCTCTGAGCCGGTGTTTGTACCTGGGGATTAGCACCACCGTTCGCTGGGCTGCAGTGAGTGAGTGAGGGTGGAGGCAGAATGTGAGCACACAGCAGGGCACACAGCAGGGCCCACAGCAGGGCACACAGCAGGGCACACAGCAGGGCACACAGCAGGGCACACAGCAGGGCACACAGCAGGGCACACAGCAGGGCACACAGCAGGGCACACAGCAGGGCACACAGCAGGGCACACAGCAGGGCACACAGCAGGGCACACAGCAGGGCACACAGCAGGGCACACAGCAGGGCACACAGCAGGGCACACAGCAGGGCACACAGCAGAGCACACAGCAGCCCCCGTGAAGCGCGGGGCCCAGGCTGGCTTCACGCCTCCTCACACCACACGGGCGGCCTGAGACACTGGGCCCAGGGGGCGTGTTTACTCCTTCCCGGCCTGCACGCCGCCCCGCTCCAGGTCCCACAGAGGGGCTTCTACGGGACGCCAGGAACTTGTAGCCATGCCCCCCCGCCCAGCTTACAATCTAATTAAGGCAACCTGAACCTCAAAATAGAAGCGTCCCAGAATAGTGCGGCCTGCGAGCTGGGCTCCCAGTGCTGCCTGGCAGGCGGCAACAGGTAAGGAGAGACTGGGCCCAGCGCGGGCCCTCCTCCAGCTCCGACCCCACCCCACCCACCCCTGCCTCCTCCGAGTCCAG